AGGCTTGCTCCAGATATTTCAAAAATACACATTGCAATGCCACCAGAAGATCGCACACATTTCATATTAGTCTATAACAGCAGCAAAAAAAAATGTTTTCTGACTCTCAAGTTTCTGTCACATGTAAACTGAATTGAAAGAAATATTCTCCAAGGGTCTCAACACCATAATGGAAATATGCAGTCATTCAAGAAGAAAATCAATTAAAAAAATCAAGTTATTATTGTCCATGATAACACAGCCAAAGTTTATTTGGATTATTTGCAAACAATTTAATGTTTTCCAGTGTCAGGCTTTAATCCTAGTATTGCTGTCTATTCAAAATGTGTTTTTTTTCCAAACACACTTAGTTCCACAAAATATGTTTTACACTGTGGTGTGAATGTTTACATCGATTTTCATCATTGTTTAAAATATCTTGACAGGCTGAAGTACTCGTGACACTTTTTCCTAAGTAGCAACACCAGACATGTGATCAGCACTTCTTCATCATACATGGATCCGCAGGGGCGGAAACATTTTTTTTATCAGGAACCTGAATTTCTGTACGCCTACTGCTGGACAAAATCACAATGGAATCATCACTTATCTACAAATAAGTCCACTCAACGACTACATGAGAACAAGAGCAGATGAGCAAAGGCTTGGTCATCAAGCAGCAATGAGTTCATGTGTCTGATTGTATTATCGAGATGAAATGGCTCTTTACATGTCTGATGTAATCATTATCACTGAGTCTTTGTCACTTGTGTCTCACTCAGTTACTTTCACACACACACACACACACACACACACACACACACACACACACACACACACACACACACACACACACACACAGAAGTTGCCATCAAACCTAATAGATTGCTAATTTGGACTTTTTAATTGCTTGTCATACATGAAATGTCACTGTGCTAAAATAGCTAGCATTGATGCTAATGCGTGAAGTTAAATGGAGATAAGGCGGTTTCTGCACACTAAAAAATAGACAGGATGTTGCTTTTCTTTTCTCTTTTTCTCTTTTGAAGAAAACTATTGTACCAAGAGTGTTTTGTTTTTTTTTTTTAGAAGAAGAAGAAAGTGAAAACCGAGACTTAGCATTTACAGTCGGTGATAATGTACAGGATTTCTCAAGCCTCATCGTTGCTTTTCACTTCACCTATGTTCTTTGGCACAATGCTTTTCATACACAATCTTTTGGCATTGAATCTGTGAGCACATAACTGTGGAGGGGAAAGAAATGCGTCTAGCATTTAACGAGAACTATGTCCTTCCAGCAAAGAATACACTTCCAAGTTGAATTGCCTGTATAGAGACTTGAATCTTGCTTTTTATTTGTGATTCTCTCGGTTTGAAAATGACCGTGATGACCCTGGTAGCCAAGGCTTTCTCTACATCTTGATTGAAAATGTCTCTGCATGCAGCGATCTGTAATATCCCTGCTTGCATTTTTTTTTAACTTCTCCATTTTACAATAAGATGTCTCCACAACACAGCAGAAACACAGTGATTGGATATTAGAGGCGTCTGTCAAAATATGGATGAATACCAAACAGCTTGGCATGTGCACACTTTCCAGGTCAAAGATTTTGTGTTCCATCTTAAATGTTTGGAGAGTCACAGTGAGTTAAGAGACTAGATCGTTAAGAGCAGCGTGGGATGACTCCAGCCCTTCAGATTCCTTGTTAAGATTTTTTTGTAATGAGGCGTAAAAGGCATCACAAGCACCTTTTCCATCACCCGCTTCACTACTTCCATCCACCACCCATTCCTTTGTCCATCTGTCTCACTGCAGTGTTTGTAAGAAAGTGGTCGAAATGGATCGGAGGCAACACCTTTACATTCACAATGGCACTCGGAAGAGCTGATCTCGTCGTTCTTTCCTTATCGATGCTTTTCTGTCGATCTCAGCATGAGAATCTTTTAGAAGCTCACCAGGGCGTAGACCATGCTTGATCAATGAGTAGATCATGACAAAGATAAAGAAACACAAATGGACAGTTGATTTTTTTTTTTTTTATGCAAGCCCTACAACACTAAGTAAATTTAAGGCTGCATTTACACTCTATGGTTCAAGTGGCACAATCAAGTGGCCATGTAGCCCTGTTTGGAACGAAATACATCAGCGCCATTAGCATTAGCATAGCAAGCCTCACTCTATGGACCTGTTGCATTCCACCAATGCCGTACAAACTCCATTGTAAAATGTCAAATTGAAAATGCAGTCAACATGCCGATCACGGGAAGGTTTACGGCTGATCAGCATGTTTTCTCTCAGTTATCTAGAGATCAAAGATCGCTGGCCTCTGGTCATTGAAACTGGATGATTTGTTAATATTTCTGAAAATAATGTACCGTGTAAAACATGATGAGCGCAGTCACCAGAATAGCGGACATCGCTACCAAAGTAAGCGAACCTGTTTTCGATTTCCGGTGGCCATACCGCTCATGACTATTGCGCTGGGAGCAAATGTCTAAAAATACCCAAAGTTTGATCTTAACCAGGGCACTCTGAATCCAGAGACCTGTTTTCCAGTCCAACGTCACAGACATCCGTTGACTAGAAATCACAACGGCATTGGCAATGTCAAGGTCAATACATTTCGCTTCACGGAAATGACTCACATTCACACCAAAGGACAATTTTGAGTCATTAGTCTACTTATGTTTTTGGAATGTGGGGGGGATGCCTAAGCAAGCATCAGGAGAACACGTAAACAAAGATTTGAAGCCAGACTGTAAAGCAGATATACTAATCACCGTTGCACCGTGCTACTCTCGTGTAAATTTTCAGTTCCACACAAAAAAGTGGGATATCATTGACGAATCAGAATTGGATATTCAGACCTTCACAGTATAAATACAGCCTTAGGTCATGTACAGGCTTATAGAGTTAAACCTACCTGTAGAGATAATAGAAGAAAGAGACGAGATAAAAGCCCAGCTTACACCACGACTCCTTCTGACAGTAATTAAGGATGTCGGCATTCATCACACTTACAGGATCATACATGACCTCGGACCCATCAGCTGGTCGATGGAAAAACCTGGGAAGAATATAAAGAGAAGTTTCTCTTAGAAACTGGAGACAATTGAAAAAAAACACAAATACAAAAAACACTTTGAAGGCCTTTGTTAGGGGACGGTGCATGTCGTACCTCCACAGATGGTAAAAGAGTAGTGGGATATTTAGGCCAAGTGTGACCCACTCTCCAGCACACATGAACATTAGGCAAAAAAGTCCATGGATAGAATACTCTGGTACCACCAACTAAAAACAGCACATACAGGGAATCCATTTCAGTAGTGTTGTAAGCAGTGTTACATTTAAAGGACCACATTTTTTCATATTACATGAACTCTTATAGGTACCGCACATTCTTCTCTATATGATTGGAGTGTATACCTTCGACTTCTAGTCAAGAGTTTTCCATTACGGTGGGGGACGTAATCATTTCGAGTTGAGTTCATTTAGTACCCGTGAACTGCTCAATGTGAAAGCGCCTGCAAATAAAATGTACTTCCTCTGATTTTTAACTACAGAAATCCAATTGTTTCCGGTGATGCTGACTTCCATTTTTGTTTGGTGTTCTGTGGCCTTTGCGGAAGCAAACGACAGCCTACCAACAACGATAACCATTAAAAAGCTCCACACTCAATAGAAGTGCGATTTTCCTCCACGGTAGCTTTCATTTGCTCCTCATAGGAGCATATTGACCTTGTTGATGCGCATTAATGTTGGATTCATTGTCAATGTAATCCACAATTGTGTGACATGCATTTTGCAATACAGTGCTATACAATACATTTTTATTTATAAAGCGCTTTCACAACAGCCTTAGCCGAAACAAAGCGCTTTACAGGACATTGAACATAAAAAAAACAATAATAACAACAGAACAGATAATATCTATTCCTACGCACGCATTTTTGTTATTTACATTGTACAAGACCCCAAACAAAAGACATGGACTGAAAATCAAAATGGCTTCCTCTGTTTGGCAGATGTGACAGATTTTATGGTTCTTGTCTGTAAAAAGGCGGAGAAAAATCTCGACATGAGAGTTCTGAATCAGTGTGTGGGTGTGGAGTGAAGCACTGAAGGTGGCTCCACGTGAAATGGAGAATGCGTCATGGCGCTCCCAGTAGAGGGGGAGACAAATGATGCCCCCCCATGGTGTTGTTATCGAGCAGTGGCAGGTGAAAAGCTGAAATTACTCACTCGGCGAAGAAGGTTGCAGATTCGCTCAATATTGAGAATCCTTTCCCTCTGTGGATCAGAAACAAAGAAAAAAAGATACTGTAGTCTTCTTTCACATTTCTTCATCCATTTCTTACTTTCAATACTAAACATGCGGGCCCTTTTTTTTTTGCCTTCAAAACATTCAAACACACTTGCATAATATATGAAAATACAAATGATGATGCATCTTTTTATTTTTTTCTGTTGCTGAATCATACAAACTGTGTCAGTCTCAATAGGTTGTAGTGACCACAATGCGGCGGCAATTGCTCGAAGAACTCAAGTACCTAAAGCCAAACCAAGAGTTGTGTACCGAAGGTCCTATCGATCGATCGTTCTCTGAAGGTGCATCCCTGCAGGACGTCGGCAATATATGTCAGTCCAACATTCATAAAGAAAAAGAACCGGATGCAGCACGGGAGTCCTTTCTTAAAAAGTTTCATCCGGTTATTGTCAAGCATGCACCTATCAGAAAATTAACAGTGAAGACGTGTGTGTGTGTGTGTGTGTGTGTGTGTGTGTGTGTGTGTGTGTGTGTGTGTGTGTGTGTGTGTGTGTGAGTGTGGCTGGCGCGCCTCCACACTCCCACAGCCTGATTTCACAGTTTCCTCTCCCACTCCTCATCACTCTCACTTTGCAGCTTCACATTGTTGCTGGAACATTCTCGAAGAATCTCTCTCGGCTGATGCCAACTCGCAAAAGTGTCGACTTAGCGGTCGTCATTGTTTTACGTCGTCAAAAGTAATGGATATGCTTTTAATCCATTTGCTTGGCAAGGAATTCCCAACTGGGACTCCGGTTTGGAAAGTTGTGACTGAGTGAGATGAAACGTACACAATATCTGAACTTGTGATCCCACCGTGTAAACAAAGGCCTCATTTGCATCAGGTTTATAAATTTAGTGAGCCGATGAAGCCAATGTCATCGTTGAAAGTTGACTCTGCATGCAAATCAGTCTTTGTTGTTTCAGTTGCGGCGGCTTGGTGGTCCAGTGTTTAGCACGTCGACCTCACAGTGCAGTTCGATTCCAGTTCTACCATTCCTGTGTGGAGTTTGCATGTTCTCCCCGTGCCTGCGTGGGTTTTCTCCGGGTACTCCAGTTTTCTCCCACATTCCGAAAACATGCGTGGCAGGTTAATGAAACACTCTAAATTGTCCCTCAGTGTGCGGATGGTTGTTCGTCTGTGTGTGCCCTGCGATTGGCTGGCGACCAGTTTGGGGTGTATCCCGCCTGCGGCCCGAGGACGGCTGGGATAGGCTCCAGCAGCCCCCGCGACTCTTGTGAGGATAAAGCGGCTTGGCAAATGGACGGATGGATGTTTGACTCGCAGTCACCGGGAAGCCGACAACTAACCTTTCATGCTCAATATTAATGAACATTCTCGGAATAAAATTAAAAGATCAGCATTTTATATTGAATAATTTCACATCTTTCAGATGACTATTAGAAACTCTGATGTAAAAATGATCGTCTGATCCATCAAAAGAACCTCACTGTGGGAAAGGATTGAATACTAGGACAGGTTGAGAATGCCGGAATAGTTTGGACACTTCAAGGTAGATTTTTTTTTTTTTTTGCATGCACAAGTAACACAAAGCGTCTCTTACCGCTCTGGTGGGATTGCTCTGGTCGATGGGGTTTTTGAAGTCTGTGCGCAGTTCATCAAATGCAATAATCTGAAAAATAGCACACGTGAATTTCTTGACATTTCTCTGCCTTTAGATTGCACTGTTGAACGCTTACAGATGCTATCAGGTTGTTTTCACGCCCTGGTGTTAGAGGAATCTATGAGCAAAATTGTATCATGTTTAAAGTTTCATATAATTTGGGCACGTCTAAGTGTTTGGGTGCGTATTCTATCCCGCACCCCCAAATGCCTGTGCACAAAGGCGCCGGCCACCTGGGCGGAGGGCTGTTGAAGTCCACAATTAGCACGTCAATGCAGGTGGGCGATCAGAGGAGAGAGGGCTAGACTCGGTCACAAAGGGGGAATGAATAATTCGGGAACAGCGGTTGAACGACAAAAGACGATTTGAGAACACCCGTCGCGCCCAGGCGACATTCGTCGTCCGCAAAGTCTGCAACACGTTGATTCAGCGTAGACCAGACAGAAAGGTGTCAACATACCTGTGGTTCAAAGCTTAAACCAAGGTAACCAATCACTACCGAAGGGCCGGACCGGGGGCGCGGTATGCAAATATCGGGGGCAGTGTTTTTCTTGTATTTTGTTCATGTTAAGAAAAGTTGGAACTCGCAGAGGGGGGCCCTGAGTGTGATCACGGAGCAACTAAACCGTCGTTCGCTCTCAGAGATCCGCTCCTGTCGATACTGAAGACAATTTTCCCTGTGTGCCGAGTCATTTCTTTAACTTTGTCCGAGAAAAGCTCTGACACCTGGACATCGTGGCAACAGTTTATAAACAATAAGAAAGGCGTAAAAATGTCAGGAGCCACTTTTCATTCCTACTGGAAGTTTAAATTGAAAACGACTGTTGCATTCATAAATCTGATGCAACAATTTAAATACTGAGCCCTGTTTATAGTTTCAGTTTCTGAAAGCATGATTTATTTCACCACACTTAATGTCCTCCCCTGAGGCGTTTTGCATGCATGAACAATCCAAATTCAAAATAATCAGAGAAATCTATTTGGCCATAACATTAGGTACAGATGCACAATCCAGCAGGTCCAATATCAATATCGGGTTTGCCATTACAAGGATTATGTTCATCTTTGATGAGGGTTAAGGACATCGCTCTATGTTTATTACTATAACTCACGGAAATTACGAATAGAAAATGTTTCTCCAGATAAATGTGTGGCACACAACCTAAAATTTACACCAAACGTGCAAAAGTGACGGCTTCCATGCTGTTTATTTTTCTGCGAGTCTATATGACTCTCTCCATCGTTTTTTTTTTCCTTTCACATTTGTAAACAGATACAGTTTCCATAGCAACAGGGCAAACCCCGCCGTGGGTTGCATGGTTACTGATGCAGTGAGCAAGACATCTGATTGGCTGACAGCCGAATTCAATAGGGATATTTTGCCAGTGCGTTGAGGCTCGCCTGGGGGGAAGAGCGGGCGGGGGGTGCTGGTGGTTGGTGGTCCAGGATCATAGTTTGATAAGCCTTTCAATCACACGGTTGAACGGCAAGCCAGACATCCGCTCCCCACCCGCCCCCTTGCTTTTCTCGCTCAGACACACAGACTGACTCATATGTAGTCACACCATTCAGCCAGTCGGTACATTAGTCATTTTGCAGCCTCAGATTTGTAGCAACTGTTTTAAAGTTCATATTATGTTCTCCTCTGGAGAAGAAGCGACTGTTGTTGTGGAGCTTTGGTGTTTGCAAGTCCCCTTCAGAAGCCTCTGCTGACGTCTGTGCAAATTTGACTGAAAAATGCTGCAGATTCATACCGGTCAGGCAATAAAGAGGAGTGCTTTGCTGACTCCCCGAATCCATTATGTGCAGTTTGCTGTGGCGTGAACGCACCTTGTTTGAGGAGCGGGTTTGTTGTCAACATACACGGACGGAGCCACCGGCAATCGCAGGCCGTTCCGGGGAGAATTTAGTCAGATCTTGGCTCCCAAAACTAAGCATCAGCCTCTCTATTCTTCTTTTTCTTCTTTTTTTTTTCTTTTTTTTTTTAAACTCCGATTAGCTTGAGCAACACGGTCATGGGGTAAAATCGATACATTTAACAATGCACTGGCATCTCAAATGTGTTAAAATGATATGTTTGTAACAATACACTGCGATCCCCTTATGCTGCAAGCATGATATCCCGTTCATCAACCTAGAGAACGTTATGACATTTGATCCTGTAGAATTCATTTAATTGTACAGTCAACAGTTTTCTAATACGTACATGATGCTGTAACCTGATTTATTTCACAACAACTTGGATACTACTGCGGTATCATAACAAATGAATGCTACCCAGTGAGATGGCTTGTTAGTATATACTCTATAACCTCCATAAAGTTAATATTTTCTATTTATTATGATTCGAGGTTTTACGGTAAATCACAAATCCTGGAGGCTGGCGTGACATTTTATTCCCCAGTTATTAAATAGGATATACTGTAATAGTGAAGAATGTATTGAAAGATTGTTAGGGGTTGTGCTGGCGATCATAAATAAAAAAATATTAGCTTTTCGTGTTGATCTGCCGTGATCTTATCGGGCTATTTTGAGGAAGCATTACACTTTAAAATGATAGCAAAGCCTTGGATATTGGACCTTTCCTACTCATGCCTGCGGGTTATCCGCAGTCTTATAGCGTGCAATGTACCGACGGAACTCGCACATTGCTGGAAAAGTGGATATGTGATCAGAATTTCTTTGGCAGTCCACATTTCAGCACTTCAACGACTCCCACTTGAATCAGAATCTCTTTCCATTCTGGTATTTACCATGAACAAGACCAATATATCCCTTGATGTTTTCCTCTGGGAATTTCAAAGCACCTGACACCTGTGCAATTACTTTACACTGAGCCTATCTTGAGCTACAAAGTGACATAATTACATACATTTATACCCCCTGCGAGATAAACGGGACGGATGCACCTGATCACTTCTGGAGAAGGTGCCTCTGCTGCGTTGCTGTCACTGTCGTGCAATGTGTGCGTGTGTGGGTGTGTGTGCGTGTGTGGGTGGATGTGTTTGTCTTGCCCGTGCGGGGCTCGGAGTGTGAATCCACTTAAGTGCTGTACTCACCTGCCAGATGACAAAGAAGATGAGGGCAGCGCACAACACCAAGGTGAGCATGTAGCAGAAGGCCGCAAAGGTGAACGCCATGGCGGTGCCAGCCAGCCTGACGACGAGACGGGTTCGAGAGAGAGAAAGGGAAACAAACCCCCTTTGCCTCACTCGGTCAGTGGTTCCCTTGCACCCTTCTTCTCTCAAGGCAGATTTCTTTTTTCAGTTTGGCCCCCTGAGGCGCAACTCTGGATCATCCAGGGAGTTCAAACACTCACGTTCAGCTATAATCAAGAGGAAGTTATCGTTTCAGTGCCTGCACTCATCCTCATTGAGTTCAGATCACAATCTCGTTGGGAGTTTTGAGCAAATGTCTGTGTGAATATTCATAACGTGCGACTCTGAGTGAAACGACGACAGCAGAAATGTTTTTCTTCTCCAAGATGCATATAGGCTTGTGGCACTTAATAACTTTCTTTTATGCCTTTCAGTTCAACTGTTGCTTCGGAGCGGAGACAACCGGTGCAGCATTCTTTTCTAATTGCGTCTGCCCGATTGTTGACAGTGTTTACACAAGCAGTCTCTTCATGTCTCCCTTAAGTTTAAACTGTGGAGAGTCCATCATCGAATCATTACAAGCCGTACAGAAAGCGTGAATTTTATTTCTGCTGTTATTAGAACCCAATTGCTAATGATGTCAGCATCACACATTCAAGTAGATCATATGCAGTAGAAGACAGGTAGTATGTACTGATATGTTGACTGGTTTCGGAATTGAGCGGAGAATACCTGAATCTGGCTGGTGACGTGTCTGCCACGGAGCAGAGCATTCCACTCGGTCCACGTCTTGCTCGATTTGGGTCGACAGCATGTCACAACTCTCTTCTCTCATCCCTAAACCATCTACATTCGTGAACATTCAAAAGAGGCTTGGCCGCCTGGTTAGATTCTTAAGAAAAACATGTCAACAGAGGACGCATCTGTGCTCGTTTGGACTTCAAAAATACAAATGTCCACATCGGGGCGTCCGAAGTTAATTGGTCCTCCTCTTTGCTCTCCCTGTTCTCTCTTTTTTAAGATCGATGATGGAAAACAAAACAAACACAAAAAAAGAGCGTCTTTCTCTATTTTCTGACTCTACTGTCCGTCTGTTTCCATCGCCGGGAGAAATGTATTTCTATCATGCTCAATATTGGAAGGATCAGCCAATCGCATCACCCCGTTTTCCCTGCTGCTCTTATTTCTCCTCTCTCAACGCTCTGGGTCTCCTGCTTCTTGTGCCATCCCATCCCCTCCTCTCTCTCTCTCTCTCTCTCTCTCTCTCTCTCTCTCTCTCTCTCTCTTTCTCTCTCTCTCTCGCTCTCAACCATTTATACATTCCCATTATCGCTTGGTCCCCCAGAGACTGATGAGGGGGCAGGGCAAGCCGAAAATGTTTTTTCCCTTTTGTCTGCATCTCTATTGTACCCATTCAGCAATTATTGAAGTCACTCCGCACAGGCGTTTTTCATCTGTAATTCTCCTTTTTTTCCAACCTCACATCCTAAAAGTGTCAGAGATGAATGATGGTGTCATTAAAGGCCCACCCCAACTTCATTACTTTGATTCTATTGTCTCACTATGACCATCTCCTGCTGCGATATGGTGATTTAAAAGACAGAAATGAGTGAAAACTGGAAAGAGACCAGCAGCTGCTGGCAGTCATTGCATAGTTCAGCCTTCCGTGGAATAACATAACACGATAGCCAACCAGCTGTATGCACTTGGTGCACCAAATCCTCAAAGGGTGAGGGGCTCACATTATATCACTCTGCATTGCAAGTATTTTGACTCTGTTTAAAGTGAAAGGGTTCAAAATACACATACTCTGTAAATGTCAAGTAGCCTATCAAAAGCGATGAGCAGTGTTGTACAACCTACCACAGTGTCGCATGTAAAAATACTGTGCAGTATTTTTGTCATAGATTGCGTTTACAAATAGTGCTATATGTATCTTATCCTCCAAAGGCCTTCGAGAACCCATCCCTGAATTTGTATGGTGGACAAAAAGCTCAATTCAAAAGTGCTGTACATTTCTCTCAAACAAAATAACAAAAAGGCAAACAAGCTACTCTGAATGAAAGTCCAAAATAAAAAGGTTCAAAGTAACTAAACACACACTAGGAAAAAGACTAAAACTGACTTGATATGACGGACACAGCTGACAAAAAAAAAAAAAAGACACCAAAATGAACCGAGAGAAGCAATTGGTATGAAGAAATATTATGATCACTATCTCGATGTGTATGATTATGCTGTCATGGCAATGTGTCTCGACAATGGCACGATCTAAAAAAACGTCCCCAAAAGGAAATGGGACGAAGTGTAATTTGCAAGGGAGCAGTCCGGGGTGAACCCAAAGACAGTTGGCAAAGGCTGCAGTTACCCGTGACCCTGATGACGACGAGCATCATAGAAAATGGATGCACGGATGGAGACGGGAGTCTGCGGCCTCAAACCTGTGAATTACAGCCACTATTTTGGACTTTTGACAGGACATTGCGTTCCGCCCATCTAATCTCGCTAGAGCATGGAACTATTGTTGAGCTATATCAAAAGGCCGCAGTAATCAAACCGACAAAGATTCATCGTTCTATTTATCCATGTATTGTATTCCTAAAACTCTCAGAAGTGGTAAGTATGATTGGCGACTCCCCGGCTGCCCTGCACAAATACTTTGCGGTTCGCAAGAAAAGTGATACTTGTCTTGACCGATATCCTGCCATCGATCTTAAAGAACACCTTCACAGATGAAACAGCTTTTTCATTCATTGGTTTACAAGAGTCCAAATTTCTTTTTAAATAAAACATTTGTTTGATCAGCAGTACGGTGGGGGCCCGTGGTTAGAAAGGCTGCATCGCTGCGGCCATATGATAGCATGACATAATCACAATTGTCAGTGTCCCGGATTTATTTTGAACGCTTTTGCGGCTGACTTCATTTTGAAGGAACAGAAAAATATTAAAATGTTTTAAAATAAGAAATGACAGGGCTTTCTAACGATTAGAAAAATGATTATCCATAAATGGCTGTAGTCTGCCCTCTAGTGGTCGTACCTCGGTATTGGTAACCGCTATCGAAAATGTGTGACTTGATGCTTTGTGTGAGCGCTTTATTTCTGAGAGATACTATGACGTAATTGTTATTAATAGAGCTTATTCATGCATCTAAATTATGACAAATGATCACAACCAGTGGTACTCATTCATTTTTGGGGCGAACATGAATGACACCGGTCAACATTTTTTTTTTTTTTTGTAAATATTTAGTCAGAGATTCAAGTAATCTTTTGGAGATTAATTTTTCAAGCTAATTCTAAATTGGGCCTTTGTTTTTTTCCTTGCATTCAGATTTTCATAGTAATAATAAGATGAATAAAATTAAAATAATATAATAGATCAAATAATAATATACCGTACTTAAAAATACTCTTGAGTTCAGGGTTAGGTTCAGCAACAGATGGATTTTTTTAACGTCATAGCTATTAATTACAACGCATGATAAATTTCTATAGCTTGAGAAAAAAAAAACAAAGAACATATCTGAAAAAGCTGATATGCTAGAAACAAGATTTTTTTTTTTTTAATGAGCGTCAAAAATACATTTAGGGACATATAAAAAAATAGGCATCTCTCACTCACATTTGCATTTGAACTGTGTGATCAAAGCTAGAACTGGACAACACATTTCCTTGATTCAAGCAATAAGGCAGTGCAGTAAGACTACCTGCGGGTCGTTTTGGCTATTAATACTTAAACAGGTTTTCAATCTTAGGTCAAAGAAAGACATATGTCAAAACCCATTTGGATTTTCTCTACGTGCACTTCCATTTATCAAGGTGCAATATGCTGCATTTATTATTTGCGTAATGATGAAAAAAGTGCAGGCTGACACTGACGTTTAATCTTCTTGGAAAAGGTTGCGCCCAGGAATGTTCTGATTAGTTTGTTGTCGCAGATGAAGACTGACAGATATTAAATCAACCACAAGATGGCGACATCCTGGCTAGAGAAACAGCAACAGATGGTCACATTGGGTGTCTAACAGGGCTGATTAACAAATGACTCACCGCCAGTTCAAAATTCCTGCTGTGGAATTTAATGCGCGACAGCTTTGGAGGTTGCCTTTATGACTATGCATACATTGAAAAACATCCATATTGCGAATCCGGATAACAATCTGCAGCGAGTTCTTCTGGACCGCTCCATCCTAAAGCCAGACAGAAAACCAATTAACCACCGTCATGTCGCTTCGGTGGGACTGAAAGCATTGCTTTGTGAATTGAGAGACCAAGTGCGGCGTTTAGAGGGATATTGCAGCGAGCAATGTACCCATCCTGAGGGAACTATACGATGTTAGAAGAATCATCTATATGCTCATACACAAAGAAAAGTCAATTAAACGTCTCATGACCTGCAGCGCTTTGGGCCGCTTGCTCAATATGTTCATTGCTCCTTCGGTGAGTACTTTAACAATAAAAGAGAGTATCAAACAAGCCTAGGGACATTACACCTGCCCCATCCATGTGACTTTCTATCATCAATCGGACACATTTGCCGTATTTCATATTTTCCGATGATATATTCTTGTGTGCCCTTTGACTGATTCGCCCAAAATCAACTGCGATCAACTCCGCGTATGATGCAATATAGTTGCTCACTCATGCACACCACAAAAATAAATATTAAAAAAAGACCTTCCGGATACAGATCTTGTAATAGATGAAATTAGATTGCGTCGGTCTAATTGTTGTGAGTGCACTCTTATATCGTAATGACACACACAAAAAAAAATTGTGTGTCTCTCTCCCTGTGCTGTCAGCCCTTCATGGCAACAAGAACACGACACCTGCACAGTACTGGCAGCATATGCCTGAAGCGACACAACAGACAATGAAATGAACAGCAACCAGCACTTCCACGCATGTGCCAAGAAAATAATTCAACTGGACCACAGCAATAAAAATGTCTCCCATCTATGGATGTATTGTGGGGCAAACATTACCATAGCAACAGAAACAAAGTCAGTGATGTTGCTGAAACGTGTCGTTTCATTTGCGCTGAATGGACATCACCTTTGAAAATTAAAAAAGAAGTCAAGCGCACATTTTAAACAGGTGAAATATTTGTGAAGTTTTCAGGGCAAATTTATTTCGGATGATGTCGCATAAAGAATTTAGGCGGAGATGACAAATTTGTTTAGTACATCATCTCAAAGTCATTCAGCTCCAGTAACAAAACTCTCAAGGTGATGTCACAAAAATCAAAGCTCAGAGGTCCGAGATGGTCGTCACGGAGACATCGATGACACAAGCTGTGGAGGACATGAAGCAAAGAAACGTAAGTCCTGAATATCAAGATCGACTTACATCAGCAGATTAACGGTAAATATTCATCACTTTCACCTATGTAACTGAATTTGTGTTCCTTGTTCCCTTATTCTCATTTCAATTTGAATGTTCCCGACAGGAAAAAGAAACAAAGCTTAAACCAGGTAATTTCTTTGTACTTGTGAAAAAGACAATTGTGTGTCCTGCAAATAAAATGAAGCACCAGTATGCAAACGCCTCGCCTGTTCATTAACCTGAGAGACGGCACGTCGTTATTTCAGAAAAGCATCTTCAGGTTTTGAAGATGTTTGCACATTTAAGCATTTCTCATGTTCAACACACTTCTTAGTCGACCCCTCGCATAGAAGTCTCATCAATTTTATTTCTCCTAGACATTTTCTTGACCATGAAATGAAACTTCCTCCAAATGAAAGCCATCCGTTAGAGTGGCTACTTTGGCTACGTGCTGTTTGCCGATTACAATCCGAGTCCAAGATTTATTTTTGCCGGTAATATCTTGAAATAAGAACGTTAAGATAAAAGGGAAGTCCCGACTGTCGAAGTCATTTTTGAAGTATTCTAATCCTGTAGAACAGGACTGACTGAGTATATTTCTCCATCAGTTTTCAATACCACTTGTCCTGTTCAGGGTCACGGGGAGCTGGAGTCGATCTCAGCTGACTTCGGACAAAGGCAGACTTCACCTTGGACTGGTCGCCAGTCAATCACGAGACATAAAGAGAACCATACAACCCATTACACTTATTTAAGCTGCCATTGAATAACAGGCGAGTGAACCACGAACACAGTTGGCAATTTATCTGCTGCAGCCACGGAGATTACACAAGATTGCATTTAATTCTGTTTATTTTGAACATTGAGTGGCAATATTTTGGGCCTCTCATGCGTGCCAATGCTTCTCCTAAGACAGAAAATAAAATTATGACATCTTAAGCCAAATATAGCCACAAATCTAAATTTCCAATCAAAAAAATATGAAAATAATTCAAATAACATTCAAACTTAACTTCATCATTGTCAGGTGTCCGGAAGGATTCCGGAGAGAACAAGGATTCCACAATTGTAGACAAGAGATAGATGAACAAAAATATCTCTATTTATAAAAACGCAAGACCTACTAAGTAGAACTAAAGACGTTGGTTACAAAGAACCAGCAAAAGGCGAGAACAAACCAAAAATGCTTGCAAAAAGTGAGGAGCGAAAAACGAGGCAAGGCTATGAGGCAAAAATGTCAAGAACATCTAGAAAATTAAGGACTTGGAGACAGACTCATGAGCAAGGCTAATAATCTGACAGCCAGTTGTCGGTGAAGCATGTTTTTTTTTTTTAAAAGCAGTTGGTAACAATGCCCGATGTGGGACAGGTCCGACCGACTCATTGACGCCTACTCCCTAGCTAGAGACTGAAAACCCCCCCAAAACAAACAAGACAGGATCATGACAATAATAAATCAACCACCATGAATCCTCAAAAAAAAGAAAGCGGTGCTCCATGTTTCTGAGAACAACGAGAGGACATCTGGCCGCTGGTCCGTCCACGTCTGTATTTATAGCAGTGGCAAGTCACGTAGGTTGTCTTCGCTTAACTACTGTGTTGAGCGAAAGGGAAATGCACTTGTCGTCAACAAACAACCAAGAGCTCATGGTTGACCATTTTGAAAATGCTCTGCATGTATATCAAATCAGTACCTGTGACTGTGTTTGGCAGTGACAAGGATGGACAGAGGGCCAACACAGACCGGAAGATTTGGAGACAAAGCCAGATAGGAAGTCAAATGTGAAATCACAGTTTGGGAGTAGAAGCTCTTTTTGAGCCTTGTGCTTCTAGATTTTGATGTCTGGATGGAATGAGGAGAAAAGTGTTCGTGTTGGCTGTGGCCCTCAATAATTCCACTGGTTTTCTGCAGTAATCTGTCAGGGTCGGTGTCTATGAGGGTGGGTAATGTACATCCAATCACGATAGCAAGATAATTTCAAGTTCAGGAGCAGAAGATGGAAGATGAAGATTGGCTCTGGTGACTCCTGAACAGAGTTAAGCCAAAAGGGAAAAGAAGAACATCCAATTCATACAAGCTCGTGCGTGGCTAACGTTTGCTCCATAAACTCGGCTTTGCCTCCTCGCGGTCGTTGCTCATGATTAAATCATGCAATTGCACTTAACAACAAGGCTCCTTTTTGACAGTTATTAAAGGGAACGGCTCACAGCAACCACTGAATGACAGATGCCAGATAATGAGCCCACGCTTAATGTTAAGGACTGTTGGCTGAATGATGTCTCTAATTCATAACGGTTTATGATTTGCAAAGACTGTGATGGCAGAGTTATCCGTTTCTTCATTTTCTATAGAACTAGTCTTGGTAAAGTCGTAGAAGTGATCGCAACTGACCTGAGGCGGGGTACACGTTGGGCAGTGCAACATATAGACAACATACCATTTGCATGCACACCGATGGACAATTTAATCTCCCCAAACCAAAAAAAAAAAAAAAGCATGTTTTTGGAACATGAGAGGAAGCCTGCGACGCACTTTCATATTCCACCATTATCCTCTCAATTTGTAACCTTTGCGAATTTTGCAACGGATTTTACATCAATAATCTGGCAATGATATAACTTTATATTTTACTTTCAATATAGCAGTGCTAACAAACTAGTCTAAGAGTCCGAAGCCAAAAGTCGAACTCCACTTCATCCTTTGCAATTGATTTGCGTTGTGGTAGGCCTAAACTCAAAAGTGTTCCCAGTTTGTGCAATGTGTATTGGATTGCGGTTGTTTACAGTGACGCACTGCATCGTTCTGATGAGTGTTTCTAATAATTCAGTTTCATCCTCCACTTTTCTGAGAGGATCACTTCATTGAAAACACCTCTCGGTAGGCTCCACGTTGCAGTGCAGTTTTACACCACTGCAACCCACAACCACTGCGTGCGTGAGACAGTCTTAAGCTTTATTATTAGAAGTATTTTTTTTTTTTTTTTGGGAAAGGCAGACTTTTGGATACATCTTGTGTGGGGGCATCTTATTTAGACCGTACAGGTGTACCCAAGGAAGTGGCTATAGCGAGTGTGTCTTTTGCTGTTAAGACGACAACAGGTGACGGGTTCCGCTGAGCGATGAGTGATGATGTAAAACAAACCGGAGTAAAAAGAGTCGTTCGCTGTGGACTCTTGATGCGCAGTCAGAAGGTCCAGATCGAGCCGTGTGGCGTCTCCTCCCTTGTCTCCACTGCAGTGTTACCGCTTCTCCTCCTTCTCGCTCTTCGCCTCTTGCGCCAGCGCTGCCCACCGCAAGAGTAAGACTCCACACTTGCATTTGTTTCTTTTATTTTTTATTTTTTTATTTTCGGCATCACATCACACACTCCTCTTTTCTCGTCCGCCACCACCACCACCACCTCGCTCGTTATCCATCTCGCCCTGCTCCTTGTGATGTGCAGTTGTCGGTCCATCCCCATCCATTCATTCATCCATTCTCGCCTTTTCTCATGTGCACCAGCTGCCTGGCTCTTTTTGCGTTCCTCCTTTGCTCAAAAGAGCGGCATTCTCCCCCCCCCCCCCCATTTTTTAAACGCTCTCTATTTGATTTGTCGGATTAAAAACACTCCGGAACCCCTTCCATAAAACGGCACTTTATCGGGATTTGTGACTCATTCCGAGGAGACGAAAAGAGAAGAGAGTCGGTCATATTTTACGCACCAGCAGTCGGGCTGCGGATGGACGAACGTGTAGTGTATTGTTTTTAAACAGGAACAAAAAAAAAAAAAACATTTGGGGGAGGTATTTCATCGCTGTGGAGCAACAAGAAGAACTAAATCCGGAGGCTTCAAGTTTGATAGGAAAGGAATTCCAACACATAAAGCGCAAGCGACCAACATCATTGGGAAGCAGCTTGCATGTGTGGACGCCACTTGGGCTGCCTCCTCTGCTCATCTGCAGCCAAAGAGCCCGATATCCAGGCTCCTTTGAGATTTTCAGCTTTCTGTGAGCACATGTGGCGCTGCTGTGCTGTGCGCATCAAATGGAGCCGTCAATTAGTCTCTCACGCGCAACCTGCTGCTAATAATCGACCCCCCCCCCCTGCATCTGCAACGTTCTTCGATTTCACCCTTTTCCCCCAATTGTCTCCTACCTGTAAGCGTAATCTATTCGCTGTTTCTTTCTTAAATCATCTTCCAGGCAAGCCCCTCTTGTCTCTTTATGGTGGTGATGAAAATCAAGACATTTTTATCTGAGACTTTTTTTTTTTTTTTGCTACAGAGAGAACTGCAAAGTACGTTCCACTTCTGAAGCTCTCAACTTCAAAGAGGCAAGCTCACTCAGCAACTGTTGCAAGGTGAGTCAAAATGGCTCTTGCCATGTTAAATATAGGCAATTCCCGTTTTAAAAGCAAAACTTCATGTATTTCCCCACGTGGGATAAAGTATCAAAAAACGGCTGTTTCGTGCATGTGTGGGCTGTTTTGCTTTGTTGGATTTTGCTATATTATGGTCACATTTAATTCCTTATGCAGTGGCTGTGTTATTTCAACACTAATGAATTGTTCTTAGTATTTATTTAGGCATTGTTGTTGATGTATTTAATTAGTCTTTGTAACGGAATACATTTTTGATCGTATATTTAACAAATAAATACAATTCAAATTGAAGCCATCAAGTGCTGCATGTGTAGCCTTGATAAAAATAGTACATCACAGAATTCAATCATTCAGTCATGTGTTTTCTTTCCATGTTCATTTTTCTCGATGTTTAGCTTGCCGGGTGAAGAAATGTGAAATCCCAGCAGAGTTTGAATAAATTGTTTTGTAGTGGTAGTATTCCAGTGTGTGAACACCGCGGATAATAATTGACTGTCGTTGTACCTCTTTGGCTTGTCGCTACCTGTTCATGGCAAAGGTGTGCTAACATTACCCTCACAACATTTGTGCTGAAGAAATTGCATTCAATTTGATAGGATTATATATCGTGTAATATCAGAAATCAGTTCCTTGAATTGGCAGGGCTGAGTTCCTCTCTACAAAGAGCAGCCATTCTTGTTTCTTCTTCAGGATGATTAATCTTAAAGCCTTTGAAGCATTAAAGCGTCTGTATGGGTTTTGCTAAAAGTAGAGATGAAACGCTGGAAAACATCCTCAGGCAAGAGCGTCAGGCATTTGTCAGAGTTGCTGTCTGCGGTGCTTGATGTGTGAGACCATCTGAGCAACAGTGTGGTGGCACCGATGCTGTTGCTCTCGCACAAACGCAATCTGTTTGTTGTCTCTTTGAGGTGTCACAGAGAAAAAGAAACGTCTCCGTGATTTCCGCAACCGCTCGGCTTCACCTTGAAATGTGACGCTTGGGTCGAACGCGAGCTTGCGGGTCAGAGTGGAGATTGCCAGCTTTTTTTCCCTGCCGCATGTCAATGAGAGCACATGGTGTAGCTGTAACATTGTCACATGCTCTTTGCTGTAGGCAGGCAACCTATTTTTGAGACGGTCTTAAAATTTTGATCAGCCGCTTCAGATTATACCTTCCCCCCTTGTGCTGTTTTCTCTCTGTGTTCATATTGATGATGATGTGGAGCCTCTGGGTTCCATTGGCTATCGTCTGAATTATTCACTCAAGCTGTTCAAATGTTCATTTTGCTGCCAAGAAATACACCGCGAGTACGTTTTCTTCTGATGTACTTGAAATGGCTTTCGTAAAGACGTGCATTTGCAGACGTCCCGAAATCTCGATGAAAGACCGAATTACTTTTTCAGACGCATATTCTAGTCCATTTACTGTTATGTTAAGAGCCTAAATCCCCAAGGTATCTCAAGGCTGGAATGATCTCATTCCGCGGTGTATTTATATTTTGAAAACGGTGGCACGGTAAATTTATTAAAGTAGGCTGCAGACCCACTCTGACGGTCTGAGACAAAAATCTCTTTAGTGTTATAAATTAAACCGACAACCGAAATCTTTCCGAAATCATTGGGAAGCAAGTTGAGACACAAAAACCGTAGCGGGAAAAGATTAGCAAAGATGATTTTTTTTTTACAATATGTCACGTTTGCCAAGTCTCCGGGTGAATGGAAAAAAAAATCATAGGGCCATCTCAAAGGTCACTAAGAAGTCAATACGAGGCTATGAACAAATGTTAGCGAGAAATGGACTGGCAACACTCTCCCCCCTCACAAAGAGCTCTTAAGAACAGAAATCCGTCTTTTAAAGTATATATGCTGTATTCACATCCGCACGGCTCTTTATTAAATCCCCAGCATTCTCATCCTATTGAAAACGGCCAAGCCATGTTCACAGTCACAGATGCAGACGCGATCTTTTCTTCCTTATTTTTTTTACCAGGGTTTATTTTTGGCATCCCATCTAACTCGACAATACATTATAGCCTGAGTCACTTTTCCTGTTCGTACCGCGAGTGCAAAGGTTAACATTTCCACCGCTGCTTTTGCACAAAATGACCACATTACACAGCATGTGTGGGAGTGGGGCAGGACAACACCAATGACTCAACGATTAGTAGGTGCCAATATTTCTGGTTTCCAAAGCTGCCGAGCTATTGGATCCCACATCATTTGCATACAAAAGAGTATGAGTGTTATTTCAGGAATAGCACTCAGGACTCGAATTGCAATTCTCTTCCAATGCTGTTGCTGAGCTGAAATGCCAAAGAAAGACATGAACAAGCTAAGGGGCTTAAAGCTTGTTAATACATTGCCGGATATCTAGTTGAGTAAGTCCCGTAAATTCAGTCATGGTGTCCAAAGTAAGATTTACAATTAATGTTCATATGAAATGAAGCTGTGTCTCAGCTTTCAGTGCCAGAACAAGCGTGGTTCTTCTTCATTCTCTTTACAAGTCCATGTCCCCCCTCCCCTTCCTCTTTTTGCAGCGGCTCCTGTAAACAAAATCCAACGCGGAACTTGAACCTGAAAGAATAACAAACATCGTCACGGAACCATGTTTCTGCAAACGCGGACTTCATCTTTCACCCCTTGCGTATACATCTCAGTCCTGCTGCTGCTGCTGCTGCCGGGAGTCACCCACGTGTCCCAAGGCAGTTCCAGCCATGACAATTCTGGCAGCCCGGCGGGCAACTGCAGCAGTGAAGATAACTGCTCCGACGGCGTGGTGCTACCCATGTGGAACCCCCAGAACCCTGTGGTGGGTGATAAGGTGGCTCGAGCCATTGTTTACTTTGCAGCTCTCATATACATGTTCCTGGGCATGTCCATCATCGCCGACCGCTTCATGTCATCGATTGAGGTCATCACCTCTCAGGAAAAAGAGATCACCATCAAGAAGCCCAACGGTGAGACGACGACGACGACCGTGCGCATTTGGAACGAGACCGTGTCCAACTTGACTCTAATGGCTTTAGGGTCATCGGCGCCAGAAATCCTTCTGTCCGTCATTGAGGTGGTAGGCCATAATTTTGAATCCGGAGCTCTGGGTCCGAGCACCATTGTGGGCAGTGCTGCGTTCAACATGTTCATCATAATAGCCATCTGTGTCTACGTAGTGCCAGAAAACGAGACCCGCAAGATAAAGCACCTCAGGGTGTTTTTTGTCACTGGCGCCTGGAGTATTTTTGCCTACATCTGGCTATACCTCATCCTGTCCGTTTTCTCTCCCGGTGAGGTGGAAGTTTGGGAGGCAGTTCTCACCTTTCTCTTCTTCCCACTCTGCGTGCTACAAGCCTGGATCGCAGACCGCCGTCTGCTCTTCTACAAGTACGTCAACAAACGCTACCGTGCCGACAAGAATCGCGGCATTATCATCGAATCAGAAGGGGACGCCATGTTCACCAAAATGGACTTGGAGATGGACGGCCAGGGAGTCAACTCGCACACTCACCCCAAAGAGGCTCTGGATGGGATGCTGGAGGGGGTGGAGGAAGGTGGAGGGATGAGTGCGGAGCAGGACCAAGAGGAGGAAGCGAGAAGGGAGATGGCTCGCACCCTAAAAGAACTGAAGCAGAGGCACCCAGAGAAGGATATGGAGCAGTTGATCGAAATGGCTAACTACCAAGTCTTAGTCCAGCAACAGAAGAGCCGAGCCTTCTACCGCATACAAGCCACGCGGATGATGATTGGCGCCGGAAACATCCTGAAAAAGCACGCTGCCGACCAAGCTCGGAAGGTGGTGAGCTGCCACGAGGCTAGCGGACAGGAAGAGGACCCCAACACGATCTACCTGCAGTTTGACCCTTCCCACTACCAGTGCTTTGAAAACTGCGGCTCCTTAAAACTCTCAGTCAGTCGGCACGGAGGAGAAGCCGGCTGCACCGTGAAGGTGAGAAACCAAAGGCCTGATTTGAGTTTAATAATCAACAACTTGATTCATAGCTGGCGTGAATAATTGACCATTATTTATGACCACTGAAATGGACATATTTTCGCCCAAATAGGTTGACTACCGCACGGAGGATGGCACTGCCAATGCCGGGTCAGACTATGAGTTCGCCGAGGGCACTTTAGTCTTCAAACCTGGCGAGACCACAAAAGAGTTCACCGTTGGTGTGATCGATGATGACATTTTTGAAGAAGATGAACACTTCTACGTGCGCCTTAGCAACCCCCGCATAGTGCACCGAGCTGAGGTCTCCGTCCTGGAGCCGCGTTCTCTCTCTTCCAGCAACAGCATGGCCGGCATGTCCTCACACATCCCGCCGAAAGCCGCCCTGGGCGGCGCTCACACCGCCACGGTCACCATCTACGACGACGACCACGCCGGCATCTTTACGTTCGAGAGCAAGTCGACCAGGGTCAGCGAAAGTGTCGGAAACATGCAGGTCAAGGTTCACCGGACGTCCGGCGCGAGGGGCAAGGTGGCGGTGCCTTACCACACTGTCGAGGGCACAGCCAAGGCTGGCGAGGACTACGAGGAAGTGTCCGGCAAGCTGGAGTTTCAGAACGATGAGACCATGTGAGTGCCAAAATCTATTTTATTGCTTTGCTCCTCGTCGCTAATGATGGTACACTCGCCTGACTCGCCGCGCGGGCGTTTCAGTTCCCGCTCGGTGACAATGTGAATGACTCCAGCTTCCTCGAGTGCTATGGAAAATTTATGGATGGATGGTTTCCTCCTCTGTTCCTTCGCATCTCTTAATCAAACATCGGAGCCCACATGTTGACATGCGGGCTCGGCGAAACTTCGCTCATTCGGAGAGCCGTTGTGGGAGGATGAGAGGATATCATTGTGAAGCAGATAATAGCTGATGTAAAGAGGAAGAAAGTGGCGCGGGGGGGGGGGGTTGACTATGGATGAGTGTAGATTTGACATGAAAACCCTTTTGAGATGTTTGCGGGACTTGGACAGACAAGTCAAACAATCACACAATTGATTTTACTGATCCACAATGTTGTTTCGAGCATGATGGTCGCTACTGACGTGTTTTGGCCTGAGGAGGCAGAGAGCTTGTAGCTTGTGAATGATACGAGTCCATCGCTTGAACTGATTTACATTTCTGTTTCTGAGTGCTCATCTTTGGTAGGTGAGGGAGAACCAGTGCAACAGTTGGACTGAATCTTTATCGATTATTCATGCCTAGACAATGTGGCACAAGGATTATGTCATAAAAAGGCCACTGTTGTTGTTGTTGTTCACGTGACCTCAGTTGAATAAACCGATTCAGTACGTGTGCTTCCAAAGGTTGTGATTTTGGAGTTTTGTCGCACAAAGTTTGACTTTGGGCCTATGCGTTTTCGTTTACCGGTTTGGCCAACTTGTGCAAAAATTACTTTGGTGTCCCAGCAGCAAGGGCACCAATAAGACCTTTTTTTTTTCCTCTGGTGGAAAATATCATCACGCAACTCCACTGCTATATTGTGCTAACGTGTTTTCTGCATGAATTGTTTGGTGTGTGAGCTGTCAATCGTCAGGGAATATAGATTGTTTCATAGCATTCCTTCCCTAATCTGTCATTTTTTTAATTACAGTGCTGTACTGAAAGAATATCGATAATGTCAGCAGCAACTCCTTGATGACGACCCGACGTTCATCACGTTAGTGTTGACTTAACAAGTCCAATTTATTTGGATTGCTCTTTCCATACATTCAAAATGGAACACCAAGTGCCAACTTAAAAAAAAAAAAAGCTGAAGTTATGCAACACTTCAACGTGGAGGGATTAAAACAGTACAGAACCGAGGAACTGGAGAAGGATTGGCGTGAAGTACCTATTAACGTGTTTTGGCGTGATCATTTTCATCAACAAATTTATGCTAAGAACGGCAAATGATCCACAGCGCGGTAAGCGAAAGCGTGAGTAGCATTTAGACACAGGGAGAAACACTGAATAAAACGTGTCAAATAAATGTGTCTGCGCAAGCAGGATTGCAGGGTTAGTGAGTGGGAGTATTGTGTGGGTTGGCTGAGCGCACCGAGGGAGGGAAAAAAAAACGGCAGGTGAATGCACAGAGAACTCGCATCTCCCCCCCATTTCTGTCCTGGCCTCACATTACTGGTGAAATTTGAACGGATCCAAATTCTGGCATTTTGGAATGTTTTTACGATTTGAAAGTCGAACGGCGTTACTGTGTCTCGAATGCTATAAATCAAATGTTGCTCCAAGGGGGTGCTGAAAAGATTTTCCTGAGCATCCAGTGCAATTACCGGAAGTTGAGAGCGGTTCCCTAATGATTTTCACATAATGCAGACAACTACACAAGCCGTGCTTAATGAGTCAAGGGTGTACTGGACAACAAAGTGAAATTGTGGGCTAGCGGGCGCTTTGTATTTGCGTTGGAGGGCAGAGACGATACTTCACTGTTCATCAGATTATTACTGGTAAACAGTACCACAGCCAGTCTTGTTTGGAGTCTTGCTTTCTTTATCAATGGAACCACCTTGGAAGGCAACAACAACAAAAAAAGTCAACCTCTGATCCCACATCCAAGCAAGAACATAAAGGGACGTGCATATGAACCGGTGAAAATTCCCGCCGGCCTCGGAAAATCCAAATTTGAAAAGTCTGTTTGCATCAACGTGCTCTGCTTCTTCCCACTTTCCAAGTGCGTGTGGATGAACTCAATGTATTTACCCCAGCGCATACTAAAGTTTTGCTCTCAGACCTAAATCTTTTAACAAGATCAAATTGAGTTATTGCTTCAAGCTATGCGCAAGCTCCAGACGGTCCTGAATCTTTTATCATATCTTTTTAATTTTAAGCGCTCGGTCTGTCCTCTTGAAACATGCAGATTGAACTCAGGGCAGCTTTGCTTTCAGTTTATGTGCGTGACCTTTTGTGTCACTGAACAGATGAGCTTGTTTTCAGGCAGCATCCAAACACAGGTCATATTCAGATCCCATATACAGTAGGTAGGGATGCGCATTTTCTTTACAAGGTAAGGCTTTTGTTAATGCTGTTAAAAATAAAACCGCGTTGATTAGAGTGGAAGCCTTTATTTGGTTGACGACCGTTCCAGGGTGTATCCCAACTCTCACCCGAAGCCAGCTGGATAAATTTCAGCTCATCCGCAAAGCTAATGAGGACAAATACTCTCGAAAATAAGTGTATGGATATACCCTAAGGATGAAATGTCCTGCTTATTATTTTGGGGCACTTATTTTGGAACACTGTCAAATCTTATCAGATCACATCCTGAATAGTGTGGGTCCCAATTACATTTGGTTCCCATGGAACAGAAACAACAATCAACTTCATCACATCTGGATGAAACCGGAGCCCCTTTCAGCAATGAGGATGCTTGACGGAAGCCACCGATTTGTTCATTTTTGCATTGACAAACGTTTAAGCCTGCTTTGTAACGGCCAAATGTTTGATAAGGCTCTCGTCAAGACTGTGCAGGTGTACCTAATAAGGTGGCCAAGGAGTGAGCTGCTGCATTGGCTGCTTATGTTCATCCTTCACACGTAGCTGGATGCTCTCACCCATCCAAGTTTCTCTGTAAACCTACCGATGCCTCCCAGATGCCAGGATAAGACCTTGGCGCGTTTTTGATTCTGTGTGTCTGTCCACATTTGTTTTACTGTGTGAAAAGAAGACATACTTGTCATTTTTTTTTGCCACAAAGCCAGTTTGAACTCATTGAAAATCTAGTGGAATGAGAAATGAGCATCACGCTTCTGCGGTGTAGCAAATAGTTCAAGTTGTACAGGCAAGCCGCTGAGCGAAAATAAACAAGCTGGCAAGAGAAGTGTTCTACATGCTTTGTTTATGGATTATTTGAAGCACTTCACAGACCCCGCGATGCTTATGTAGGGCTTTCGTTTGTGCGTCTGTTTTTTATTTATTTATTTATTTTTTTGTTAGCGCCTCGGTACGTGTGCCGCAACACACGGGTTGAGGCTAAAGTGGATAACAGGGGCGGTTACATAAGCTAAAATGAAAGCTGTGTGAATGGAGGGGGAACACTTCTGGAAAGGTAAATCAATAGCCAGCGTTCTTAACTCCTCACGCTTAATGCTGTTGCCGATCAATAACACTGTGAACTAACAGACACATGTGGATATAGGGAGCACGCTACGGGCATGGTTGGGTAATGCGAACATATTGCAAGAACTTCAAAATCATTGCTCAAACACGTCTTCCCCAGAGAAATTCCGCCCTGTTTCAGGACAGATGGAAAACATCCAAACATCGATATGGATAAGGGAGGGCGGCCCGGTGGTCCAGTGGTTAGCCCGTCGTCCTCACAGTGCAGAGGCACCGGGTTCAATTCCAGCTCTGGCCTCGTTGTGTGGAGTATGCATGTTCTCCCTGGGCCTGAGTGGGTTTTCTGCGGGTACTCCTGTTTCCTCCCATATTCCAAAAACATGCATGGCAGGTTAATGGAGCACTCTAAATTGTCCCTAGGTGTGAGTGTGAGTGCAGATGGTTTTTCGACTCTGTGTGCCCTGTGATTGGTTGGCAACCGGTTCAGGGTGTCCCCCCGTCTACTGCCCGAAGATGGCTGGGATGGGCTCCAGCACCCGCCGCGACCCTTGTAAGGATAAGCGGATCGGAAAAATGGATGGATATGTATAAGGTGAGTCAAAAAAGTTGCAGGACTCGCGTCACAAATGAGATATTGGCAAATATATTTTAACAAAGTTTTCCAACGCACTTTCCCGACATTCTCAGCCACACCTCCATGCGCCGAAGGGTTACCAAACAAATAAAGCTGCTTTACTCGAGTAGGAAAAAAACATTAACCATAAACAAATCGTTTTTTTTTCAGATTTTATGTTGGAAGAGCGCACACAATATATCGTGAAGAAGCTCAGTGCCTTCCGTCTTAGTTTAGATGCACAGCGGATGATTGATTTCCCGGCTCAATCCCAAATGTGTCAAGATCCTAACATTGCCTGGGGATATAGGAAACCTATTTCTTCACGGTGCTTCTGTGCCGCTTTAGTGCTCATTTCCAGCATCGACACCCTCACTTGATCCCTTTGAGATATTCAGCGTGTTGCTCATCTTCAACAAATGGAAATCGTCTTCATTCATGGTCACTTCTAGTCAAGTAGTGCATTTATCTTTCAAAAAAAATCTTTCATCACCTGCTTTGTGTTGCAGAAAAAAAACATTACACATGACCAAATCTTCAATGCCAGCATCCAAGCAAATCACATCCACTTATAAGAACTACTCGGTAAGTAGGGACCTTACAGTCTTGATGCTATCTGACAAGACCCTCTGTGATGAGAAGTTTACCGTGACCTGCGGACAAACAGGACTGGAAGACGAGCAAAATTGAGTGGCGTCATCCATAAAGCTCATGTCAGCTCTCGGTGACACCCTGAACGCTCTACTTGAATGGATCGCCAATTTTAGTATTCAAGGAATGCTTCCCGCATTTGAGACTTGTCCCTTCTGGTTTGCATGCGTGGACGAGATGCGCATATGCTGACTGGCCACAACATTAAGCGCAGCCTTGTCAGATCCTACACAACAGACACTGTCGGGGATGTTTTAATTTTTACGGACTAATTATGACTGCGGGGCTGGTTTTAATTTTACCCCCCACCCGCCCTCCTTTCATGAAGTAAAATAATTAGCATATGATACAGACCTTTTACTATGATGCATTGCAATCTCCATAACAGCAAACGACGGCCACAATGATGCAGGTGGAGCTTTATTACTTTTGGATGGCAGAATTATTGTTGCCCATCTTGTACAAAATTAAATGGCCGCTGATTTATGTTCATGCGTGCTATCAATGTCCCAAATAGGTCACAATGCTGAGTGTCTGGTGATTAATAACCGATATTCTGTGATGTCAAATGGATTATTGTAACCCAGTGGGAATGTCAGTGCAGTTTTTTGAGGCAGTCAGGACTGTGATAGGTGCAATTTGGTCAGCTAAGTAGAATGAATTACAATGCGACAATTGCCATTTTTAGTGTGCATTGTTTATTTTTTCGGAATTCTGAAGTGATTGGTGTTACGTATGCATATTTTGGTACTTGTGTTTTGATTTTCACTCAAATTTGGTCTTTAATTTCAATTCTGATCAGCATTTTCGGCTGTGACAGAAGGATAATTTTTGAGTATGTTCTCTAGTTCCTTCTTGGTTGCCAGCTGTACTCACTGCTCAGTGAAAATTTGGAATCCTTTGCGGTCTTTGTGTATTCATTGATTGGAAATCTTTCCGAAGAGACCCAAATGAAACTCCAGCCATTCAAGCTAGCGTCTTGATTTCACTTCACTTTTAGACATTCATCTCGCGCGTGGAGACTCTTTGAGATGGAAATGATAATCATCACTTACTTCCCGTTCATCTCATTACACAAATGAGTAAACATCATCCATGGAGACGGGATGACAGATGCAGCTTCTACACATTCCACAGCTACGGTAACAGTCTCCTACTAACATCTACACATAGCACCTCTGAGTAAATTCACTTTGTCCCTCAACATAATGCACCCGAGTTCTTACAGTTGCCTCCAGGCTCTTTTCTTCCCACTGGCATGACTTTGCCCCTGACGTGTCATTCTTGTTTAAAATAAATCTGCTTTTCTCCTGTGAGAAAAAAAAAAAGGGTGCTTCCTGCATGTTTGCTGCATCCTGGGCGCGCTGTGTATGTGTAGACAGAAATAGACAACCACCCACATATCATTAGGGAGGTGAAGAAAAAAAAAAGAGAGAGAGAGAGAGAGAGAGAGAGAGAGAGAGAGAGAGAGAGAGAGAGAGAGACCGCGCAGGAGAAGGAAACGACTTGAGAAAAATACTGCATGTCCGTCATAGTTGAACAGTGTATAGTTTCACAAATGTAGATTCAAGCAGCTTTGTACCAGGAGATGTCTGAAGGGTTTGTTTTAGTGTGCCTTGAAGGCCACTTTCCGCAGAGAGCAAAATAATGAGCATCATTTGTTTGTTGTCGTGTGTGTGTGTGTGTGTGTGTGTGTGTGTGTGTGTGCTATTTTAGTTATTTCCACTTAAATTCGAGTGAAATGCAGCAGGTCGCACTCATGTGATTGAGTCCAATTGGTTGAGTTTTGTTTTTGTTTTTTTTAAGCACTTTGGCAGGTGTCAAATCATCATTTTATGTGGTCCGCGAAAGCGAATCAAGCATGTCAAGTTCCATGATGCTTGCTAAAGTCCGAACCAAAATTTCAAATTGTCATATGTCATCCACAATAACAGTCATTATTTTTGACTTCTGATTTTAAAACGAGTCATTCATCAATTTGGTGTGTGCTGTGTATGTAATATGTGGAAGGGATTAAACATTTGTATGGTGTCCCAAAATTCATAACGGCCCTCTAAGGCAAACCATAACTACAATGTGGCCTGGGACAAAAAATTTTTTTTTTTCACCCCTGCACTTTGTCATATGATGACTCAATCAAATTTAGGGGGTTGTGGCATTGAATGAATGATTGCAGTCCGTTTTATCACAAATCTGGAAAAGAATAGGTAAGTGCATGCGTCATTTCACATCTTTTTTTTTTTTTAAATGCAGGACACATTGATCCTTTCCAGATTAAGATGAGTGGCTTTGTTGCGGCCACCCAGCTTCGTTGTTTTATAAATGCCGTTTTCCATCATTGGGAAAGATTTTTAGTGACATTTTATTCAACTGCCGAGCTGCTATCTTCACATACTGTATAAAAGGCTCTTCATGATTCATTGTGTGGGTTGTCTGCCTCTTGGCTACGCCGCTTCTGACTCCAAATGCTTGTATTTGGATTTTCAAGTCACACTTGGCATTAGGAGCCTCCAGTTTTCCGGCAGCGAGCCAACAAATGCATTTGTCTTCTTCTTGTCAAATGGTTGCCATTTCTGAAATAATTGGGACTCATTCATTGATCCGCGTCTGTGGCTTTTTGACCTTGTACTTTCAGGAAGCTGCTGAACGTGAAGATCATCGACGATGAGGAGTATGAGAAGAACAAGACTTTTACCATTATTTTGGAAGAGCCCATTCTGCTCGAAGTGGGACAGAGACACGGTGAGAAACAAGCGCATGCCTCAGTGGACAAATTCAACCCTGACATCTTTTCAGTTTTGCATCACCCCTCTTCACACAGTCCCACGTGTGGGGAGAAAAGTGCTTTTCATTTTAAATGGCCGCCTCGTAAAGATGTTTATCATTTGACTGATGATGACACAAGGTCATGGTTTCAGAATCCATCCGTCTATAGGTAACATGAACAGCTTTTGACACGACTCATAAGTCCCGATGAGCCAACCGTATAAGCGGAACCAGCGCTTCATAATACGCACGTCATGTGCAGGGGCTACCCGGGTAACCGGACTGACACTTGTCCGATCTGTGCAGGAGACACCAATGACAACAAAATGCCAGTCGGGCCGGAGGACGTGGCAAAGATGGGCTGCCCTTGTCTGGGAGAACATACAAGCTTGGAGGTGGTCATTGAGGAATCTTACGAATTTAAGGTAATTCCTCAGAAGCAAGATCAACTTCTGTCTTCAGGCCACTCGTGCGCTTGTACTGAATCGAATTGACCACTCGTTCGTTTGTACTTATTGTGGTCCGCATGACTACTTTATTCATTTGGATGTTTGTGGACTGCCTCAGCCTGGTTTGGACAGTACAGTGAAACCACGATGCTACCAAAGGCGTAAAGTGTGTGTGGATTGTGCTGGATTAGACTCGACTACCATCACGTGTTTCTCTTGTTGACGATCTATCGCTTAACTTCCTGCTTCCGCGTCTTCCGCTTTGATGATGTCACTTTTGGCTGCGAACTACGCTGCTCTTAGTGTAACTTAAATGCAACATTTGAACTTGAATTGACTTTAAATTGCGGACAGAACAGTTTGTTCATAATAATAAAAAAAAAATAAGAATAAATAATAATAATAATAATATTATTATTATTATTTGTACAGCAGTTTTCAAAACAAGTCACAGCGCATTGTATAATCCACAATCCACAAAATAAAATTGTGCATCTTTTACAAAAATGGAGGATGCTTTGATTTTCTTTGACGGTATTTCATTCAGCACACTAAAACTAATCCATCAAATTTATATCGTTTTTGTATGCCGTTCTGGAAATTAAAAAAATCAAGGGCCATATTCTCACATTTGTGCACGAGTCCTTTTTTTCCCCCAGCGAACCTGGCTTGCACTTTTTTTTAGCTACACACCCTCTCAGGTCCACGGTGCTGAGACACAATCGTGCAGAAATTTGTGCACAGCTACGAAAGAGGCGCAACCCATGACTCAAGTTTTCCTTCGACTTGCGTGTCACAAAAATCCATTTTGAAAACGACTGCACACTTTAAAGAGTGCGACCGACAACTGAATGATTTCGAGTCACTGGTGCGTTAGAGAGAGAAATTTGGTTACTGTTGTAGTTGTAATTTGTTCCTTTGTATTTCTATGATCGTAATTCAATTTTCAGGAGCCGTAGTATGTGACAGGGACAACGCACACATGGGGGATGTGTGTGTGTGTGTGTGTGTGTGTGTGTGTGTGTGTGTGTGTAACATTTTTCACACTGACCCTTTTCACACTCACACACACACACACCAAGCACCTTTCTTTTTGTATGACACTGTATTCATATTTTTTTTTACATTGCAACGTGGATAATTTTCAACATGATTTTTTTCTTTCCCCTAAATTCTGCGGGTCACAAGAAAAGGACAGCGGGCCACAAATATTTGTAATTCGACCACCCCTGCTGTTATCAACGTGGCCTGCAGTTGACTTGCGACCATTCCGGTGTGCGCGTGCCATTTCTCATCCCAAGTTAATTGCAACAGGATCCAGCTCACCCACGACCCCAATTACGACAAGCGCCATCGAAAACGGATGGATACGCAGTTCCGCATCAATATCAGGGTGGCTGGAAGTGAAACAGGCACGGCAGTGATGCCTTTTGCTTCGTGCTTTCAGGTTCCTGCCTGCTTTTGGCAGCGTCAATAAAGTCACAAGATAGATCCATGTGCAGTACCGGTAGTTGATTTGGTCATGAACAAGCACTGACTCGACGACAGAAATCCGCTTGTTTTCATATGACGTGGTGATTACTCACTAGAAACATAATCGCAAGAGAGACAGTTTTTTTGTTTTTGGCATTTCGCATTCATTCCTTGATCCCTTTTCCAGGATGCTCATTGTATGCGGAAGAGGAGACTGGAGCATCGAATTTCCGTGACTTTGATTGAATGATGTGATTACTATGCAAACAAAAGGCATGTTTCTCGTTTCCGTGGTGAATTTTGATTTGGGATCCTCATTAAAAAGCATGTTTACTGCAGACGTCTGAGCTGTACTGTTAGACGATTCATGAATGGACTTATTGTAAGCAACGACATAAAAAAAAAAAAAAAAGATTGCAAAAAATGTATACGGTATATGAAATTATTTTCTGTATTAAAAATTGATTAATTAGAAATTCATTAATTTGAAATGAAACTGGATTATTATTATCAAAATGAACAATTTTCCATATTTTTCTTCAAAATACAAAAGACAAAAATAGTGTGTGTGTGTGGGGGGAAAACCCACCGTGATCTTTTCCATTTTTCCGACGCAACGGTGGATGGCAAAAAGCGATCTTTGATGGCTTGCTATGCTACCACATGATCGCATGCCCTGAAAAATCTTTGTTTGGAAGTGACTTGGGGAGGGGTGGGGGTGAAGTTCTGTTCGCTTTGAGTCAAAGCGAACAGAACAGTTATAAACCGAAAACCACCATTTTCAATTAAGCTCATGTGAAAATGCACTTTAGATGAATGACAGTCCTTTAACTTTTTTTTTCCAGCGGATCCACCGGTGCAGAACGCTGCATTATCCCGAGAGAATATGTTCTTGTTGTTTTTCTGTTCTCCCAAATTAGATATTGTTCAACCTCTTTCAGTCTCAATGTGACGCAGTGCGGTCGGTCAAGCAAATGCCCACAGGGATTGGCAATAACAATTGACTTGTTTCTTTTGCGTGCGTGTATCTCTCTATCTATCTCTCTGAATCTCACCAGCACACATGCACACTGACAATGGTTCCCACTTATCGTTTCCTACCTTAGGGAAAAGTGGGGAAAAAAGGGGAAGTGATAACTTCACTCACAACCGTCCTCTGACTTTCGGGTACCTTTATGCTTTACGACGACGTTTGTATGATGTCTATTTTGACCCATAAAAATGTATTTCACACCACAAAACTAAATACCGGGTACTTGACTCCACTCCATTAAAAAGTGCTGAAACATTAAATGACCGATAATCAAATTCAAATGTATTTATTGATGTGGTGTCGCGGTAAGTTCAGTGAGATCCAACACGTTTACTACATGTATTGTTTTACGAAATGTGAAAAGTTGAAGTGACAAAGCTACACGCATTGTTTGCATTATTGTTCTCATCTGACTTCCGATTTACGTTTGCGCCACATAGGTTGAGTAGAATTTGGTTAAGTTGTCATAGTGAATGATTAAAAGACTACAATTCAGTGTTTAGTAAGTCAAGAACTAATTCCATCCATCCATTTTCCAATCCGCTTTATCCTCATAAGGGTCGCAGGGGGTGCTGGAGCCCATCCCAGCCATCTTCGGGCAGTAGGCGGGGGACACCCTGAACCGGTTGCCAGCCAATCGCAGGGCACACAGAGACAAACAACCATCCGCACTCACACCTAGGGACAATTTAGAGGGTTCAATCAGCCTGCCGTGCAAGTTTTTGGAATATGGGAGGAAACCGGAGTGCCCGGAAAAAACCCACGCGGGCCCAGGGAGAAACATGCAAACTCCACACAGGGAAGCCGGAGCTGGAATTGAATCTGATACCTCTGCAGTGTGAGGCAGACGCACTAACCACTGGACCACCGGGCCTCCCCAAGAACTAATTCACGTCGCAAAATAGGCTGTCCTTTATATTCATTCACGGTTCACTTGCCTTTATTTTGGTATACGATATGGAAGCAACACATTCACGTTTTATAAACCTGATTGTTTATTGTAACGGCATGGTGATCGAATGCTGAGCACATCTGCCTCACAGTGCAGAGATGAAGGGTTAGATTCCGGTTCCGGCTTTCCTGTGTGGAGTTTGCATGTTCTCCCTGTGCCTGCGTGGGTTTTCTCTGGGTACTCAGTTTTCCTCCCACATTCCTAAAACATGCACGGTAGGTCAATGGAACACTCCAAATTGTCCCTAGCTGTGATCGTGAGTGCGAATGGTTGTTTGCCCTGCGATTGGCTGGCGAGCAGTTCAGGGTGTCCCCAGTCGACTGCCCGAAGACAGCTGGGAAAGGCTTCAGCACACCCGCAACCCTTGCGAGGATAAACGGATTAGAAAATGGATGGGTGTTTGTTGTAATACAGATTAATTTATTACTTGTGTTTGTTAAAAAAAAAAATACATCGGAAGAGGACCTTGAAAACATAATCTCGTTAAATCACAATCATGATATTGAGGGGAAACTAAATCGCAATTAGATTATTATAATTTTTTTTTACGTCCTTCAGCCCTCCTATTAAATATAATCCTCTCCGATTAGATGTGCAATCGAACTGCAATACCCCGACCGGTGTGCCTTCTTTTCGAGCGCTCTCGTCTCCGAGTTCAATTTGATGACATCACGACGATCATTCCAACTTCCTTCATTCAAGTCACGTCATCTTTCTCAATTTCAGCCAGATTTTTGTGGAAAACAAATAAAAGCGGGACAATAGGCTTTTCCCCAGAGGGGTCACTTGGTTCTCACTCCAATCGAAGGAGTTGACTCCATGTGGATATGAAGCAGCGTTTGTCACACCTTAATGCGATCCGGATGTGATTTTAGGCAGCGGTTTCATGACCGTTTTTTTGTCTGTCTGCAGAGCACGGTGGACAAGCTGATTAAAAAGACGAACCTGGCTCTGGTGGTGGGGAGCAGCAGCTGGAGGGAACAATTTGTTAGCGCCGTCACTGTCAGTGCAGGTGAGTTTGTACGTCCAAAAACTGTCTCAACACGTCACTCCTCTGTCACCAAAAACTGTGGAAGAGGTCGATACTGCCCTCGGGCTCGATTTAGTTTGCCAGCTGCTTCTCACCAGCCACCATTTTTCCCTCGTGTCCAGTATCCAAAATGTTCCACTTTGTCAAGAATCCATTTGAAAAGAATCCAATTGAAAGAAAAATCATTTTCTCCACCAAGCATGAAAGCGCAAGGGGCAAGAAGTATTGTTTTCATGTTTTCACTTCGAGACCATGTTCCTTGTCTTTTCGAAGGGGCTACACAAGGTAATTGTTTTATTGCCTTATTCTTGTTCGAGCGCACACTCCTAATTGCTAAAAATGCTGCCATCATAGACTGTGGTCAAACAAAAAAGAAAATATTACTCTCATCAATGTTCATTATTTTTTTTCCCCCCGTCCGACCCGCTGTTGCTATTTTAGTACTTTGGCAAGCAAACACTTCTGTAGCTCTGTGCTCATATCTTGCCCCCCCCCCTCCCATCCCAGACAGACAGTTAATTAAAAATGCATGTGGTCCATCATTAAAAACTGAACTTGCCAGCTCTCCCCCGCCTGTACAATTAATGGCCATCAAGTATTTATGGCCATTTTTGCACTGTGGTAAACATTTTTTTTCCATTTGTTTTATACCTTTTCAGGTGGATTTCATGACATTTTAGATCGGCAATCGTGCATATCAGTGCAACAAAAAAATGACTCGCACGCTCGATGTGTCATTTTTCTTAACATGCTCTTTCCACTCTTTTTCTCCCCTGAGTTCACCTAAGTTTGCGTGCAGAGTTTATAAATAGAAAGAGCACCTCCTGCTTTGATACTAAGCCCTCTCACTAAATTACTTATCTACGTGCTTAGACTGTTGGGATTGTATTTTGCAACCGTGTGCCGATTCAAAGATTTTGGGTTACCTTCTTTCGCTACGATATTAGGAAACATCGGTCATCTTAATACGGCACTGATCAGATCACTGCAGGTGTTTAATTGCTCAGATGCACACACACACTGATGAACTAGCGTTTTTATATGATCTACTCACGGGACAATAGCTGACTAAATGTGGCCCCTCCCCTTCCCATTAGTAGCTACCAAAACTTGAGATAGTACACGCATGGTTCACGTTTTTCGGTCTTAATTCCAGTCTCCTCTACCTTTCCCCTAGGTGATGACGATGAGGAAGAAAGCGGAGAAGAGCGCCTGCCCTCCTGCTTTGATTACATAATGCATTTCCTGACAGTTTTCTGGAAAGTGCTCTTTGCTTTCGTCCCACCCACCGAGTACTGGAACGGCTGGGCCTGCTTCTTTGTGTCCATCTCGTTAATTGGCATCCTGACAGCCGTGACCGGGGATCTGGCCTCTCATTTCGGGTGCACCGTCGGGTTGAAGGACTCGGTCACCGCCGTGGTGTTCGTGGCCCTGGGCACGTCTGTCCCAGGTGGGTGCCCACTGTCGTTACATCTGATGTTTGCCTCCGCTGCAGGAGCAGCTGTTTGGGAAGAACCGGGTGACCTTTGACTCTGTCTTTGTCTTAACATGTTCTTCTTGAGTCATTGTATCTCAAACATTGTCGAGAACTTTTGCGTTCGATGTGCTTTGGCTGAACGCAATTTGGTTTGGGTGTTATTGGGTAGGGCGGCCTGGTGGCCCAGTGGTTAGCGCGTCGACCTCACAGTGCAGAGGTCGTGGATTCGATCCCAACTCCGGCCTTCCTGTGTGGAATTTGCATGTTCTCCCCAGGCCTGCGTGGGTTTTCTCCGGGTACTCCGGTTTCCTCCCACATTCTAAAAACATGCATGATTTGAGTGATTGAACACTCTAAATTGTCCCGAGGTGTGAGTGTGAGCGCGAGCGCGGATGGTTGTTAGTCTCCATGTGGCCCCCCCCCCCCACCCCGTGACCCTTGTGATGATGAAGCAGATCAGAAAACGGATGGATGGATGTTATTGGGTAAATGAAGGGAAATAAGGTTATAATAAATTTAATCACACCACTCATTCCCCCTCCCATATCTGTTGCCTGGTTGAGAGAATCATTTTTCATCACTCAGGAAGATTGCAACATTTTGTGACTCTACATAAAAAAATTTAACAAGCCTGATGAATAGTGCAATAACTGTCCTAACAATTGAGGACTGCTGGATTATTTCAGACTGTCATAGACTGTGACAATCACCAGATAATGCATGCTTGTGGCTTCGAGCAGCACAGTAATCCCTGCATAATCGTGCTTTATTATTCCCTGAAAAAAAAAAAAAATCACCTGTTTGCTGTTTTGTCCTGGGGCCAAATCCATTACTTTTGGTATTACCTTGTGGAATTTAGTGCCATGGAACTCTGTTGAAGTGAGTTGAGGAGCTCGATTTGACGCAAAAGCACCGCGGCGACTCGGCTTCTGAATTTAATTAATTACATGACCATATTCATAACTCAAACCACTCGTCTAGCTTTGCCCATTGAAATGTCTTCCCCATCTCGGTCCTTCTGATATGTGCGCAATGGCCACCAGGGGACATTATAATACAGACACAGAGACGCACAAGTGACTCAGTAGCCTCAATAACCGCAACAATGAGAATATTTAGAGTTGTCTGAATGCTTTCTTTTTCTTGGAGTGGCACACAATGTAGATTTTTTTTTGTTTTAATTGCACAGTGGAGTAAATGCTAAGCGCTCCGGGTTTACACGCAGTTCTGCTGACTACAATCAGTGTAAAGCTTTCGCTTATGCCACAATGTGCTTTTTTTCCCCTCCATGTGGGGGCGAGGTTTATGAAACTTGGCAACGGAAAGAAGCGTCATCAGCTTTCCGGTTCGAGTGCCCTTCAGATTATATAACTGTCCATTGTTTTAGAGTGGTCAAACATTAGTTTCAGAATTTAATTCATGTTGTTGTCTTTGACATTTCAAGACAATACAATAAAGTGATCGTGTGAGAGGTGGGTTCCTTTTGAAGAACAGTTACAAACTACAGTCGGTAATATAATTGGAAGTGCAGTACATTATTTTCTAAACATTTTGAAAAAAAATCTAAATATTGCATGTTCTTTTTTTAAGTTTTATCTCATTTTTATCTTGAGAAAAGGCCGAAAAAAAGATGGGTAGCTTGCAAAAAAAAAAAAATCACTTGCTTGTGCACTTCTCGAAGCAATTAAAAAGTCTTCCAAAAAATAAAAATAAAAAATTGTGTGTCCCTTTAAGGTTTGGCCTGCCATAAGAATACAAACTCAAAAGCAATCACCATCTTAAGTACACCTAAAAGGTGCAAAAGCTACAATCCATCCATCCATTTTCTCTCCTGCAATCCTATTCAGAGTCTGACAAACTGCAGATAACTTAAAATTGCATTTCACAAATTGTCTCCTGCCCTATCTTTGTGCTCCAGACACATTTGCGAGTAAAGTGGCCGCAATCCAGGACCAATATGCTGATGACCAGCCGGCGAGCTCGGAGGCCCACGGACAGCCAAGCTCCTCACCTTCTTCCTCTTCCTCTCCCTGTGGTTCATCTACATCCTGCTGTCCTCGCTGGAGGCCTACTGCCACGTGCCCGGCTTCTGAGATAGCGAGAATGGCCCAAATGTGGCCCCTCCCCTTGTTTTTACAGAATGTTTTCTGTTGTTGTTTTTGTTTTTTTTTTTCCACAGAAGTCAACTAAATACATTTTCCCTTCCTGTTAATCTAGTCATTCCTTTTAACATATTTATCTCAGATAACCTGACATTTTGCTTCCTGTCAACTTTATGTTTCTGTACAGTTCTTGTGAGTTTTTACATTTTTATGATAGGACTTTCTAGAAAATGTGTTAGAAAAAAAACAATTCTAGTGCATTGGATGACGACTCGGTTAAATGAAAAGAGGGAAACGTAACTGTAAAAAAAAATGTGTGCATTGGTATTTATTACTTGAGCTTGACATTAAATATTCATTGTGTATCATGTAACAGATGAACAATTGTGTGTGCGGATTTTGTGAAAGACTTAATTTTTTTTTTTTCTGCACGCATCGGACAGAGTTTCTTGGAAATCTATTTTAAAGTGCAATATGTAATGTTTGAACAACGGTGTGTTGATGTGCTCCTGTAACGTGAAATCTCAGCAGTAATCTCTCAATGCTCTTCATCTGTGTCACGTTTGGTATAGTCCAAGTAAAAATACATTTTCTTGAAAAAAATAAATCAATCAATAACAAAAAGGTCCCCCAAAGGGCAGAGTGCCTGCTTTAAATTGTGTTTACAATTTGAGCGTGTTTACATTTGTGTGTGTGTGTGTGTGTGTGTATATGTGTGTACATATTGGCGAGAGGCATTCGGTCAATCGTTCCACAAAATGTTCGGTGACGTGTCTTGATTTCTCATCGATCATACAGACACTGTGACCTTTCACCAAGATCACTCTTAGAAAAAGCACAGTAAAAAAAAGCAAAAGTCCACTTTTGCATCGAGTATAAGCACAATCACTGAACTGGTTTTGTTGTTTGAGATTGACGGTACCATGTCAAAAGATGAACTGTATTTACCTGAGGTATTTATTTATCTATTTATTTATTTATTCATTTAGTAAAGCCATATTTACAGAATAATTCCAGTCGAGGTGTCAAACTTAAACCTATTGTTATGCATGTTTAATGTAAAAAATAAAAAAAATGGAAATAAATGTTCGTAATTTAAGATATGTATCCTGCCTCATTTTCTTCATTTCCAGAGTCACAAGGATGCACTAAAAACATGCCTTTATTAATTAATGACAGCACAAAAAATTGATATATAGAAAGAAAAATGTATATTATATATTACATATATTTTTATATATATATATATATAAATAATATATGTAATATATAATATACATTTTTCTTTATATATATATATATAAGCCCCTTATCACTTCTTTTTTTTTATCTTTATCTTTTTATGCTTGTCACCTTAAACCCCCCCAACTGTCAGCTCTTTGTCACTGCACCCCATAATCTTTTATTAGAATCCAAGTTCAAATTTAACACTAGAATATATTTCGCAGTGATTCACTTAAAAAGGAGCACAAAAGGAGCTACAAAAGTACATTCAGCGAAATGTTTTGCATTCCCTGTGTTTAGGTGTCATTTCGGGATGTGGTTCAATCTTTGGGATTCGATTGCTCTTGAAGAAGTAGACCTCGAGGCACCGCTGACACTTTGTGATCCGACGAGATAATGTAATTTCCTGCATGAGATCATTGTCCAACAACCGCGTATGTCATGTGGACAGGAAAGGAGAGAGCAAGTGGATTTCACATGCTGTGTACGGTCAAGCAGATCACGCAATTGAGATGCGAGAAAAAAAAATTCATAATAAATGTGACTTGACTAGATTGTTGGGGGGGCGGTATTTTTAAGTGACCAAAATTAATGTCTGAAACACATCGGTGCAAGATGAGTAAATCTAAAATAATCTGAAAATCGAACCATTTCAGTTGTGAAGCACAACAATATTATGCTGATCAATAGCGCTACCATTTCCGTGGGGCCCATTTGTGGGTTTACTCAGCGTGTACATGATGAAAAGTGACCACTTGTTAAGAATAGTAATTTGATCCCCTCTTGGTGAGCGAGAAACACTCTGATAATGAGCCACGTCACTAAACTGTGGGCTGACAATGTCATGTAAATAGAATATCCACTCTATCAAGAAAATATTTCCTATCATAGAAGGTTATAGATTGCTGACTGCAGAAGGTAATTAGAATTTGTCAGAGTAATTGGATTATGACTTGGTTTGAATTGTGTTTACATTGCCTATTTAAAAAAAAAAAAACGATTTTGCCTGGGTTTTATGACATGCATTCCTGCCAAACTACAGCTCAGTTGTGTTTAACTTGTTTTTTTGGCACTAAAAACATTCAGCAAAAAATTTAGCTCGTGATAAAATTGACTCAAAAGCTAAAAGGCAAATATTCCCTCCAAATGACATAAAAGGATTTGGCAGTCACACACTCCAAATAAACAGCCTCTCCGCTTAGCTGCTAAAGTGCATTGTAAGTTATGTCAGTAATAGTGACAGCTCAGCTCAATAGCGAAGCAATCGGTCACAGGAAGTCGGATCAATCATTTGTTGGCTGACTGCAGACTGTTGCATGCATTTAACGAGACAAACAAAGTGCTTGTTTGGGGGGGTTTGTTTGTTTTTTGGGGGGGCGTGTCATATAAATTAAAAACATTTAGCTCAGAGAATTTTTGTTTGGTTGGGAAGTCATGCAATTAACTATTTGAAAAGGACTCAGCCTTCAATGATGACACAACATAATACAAAACACGACTGAAAACTCCTTGCAGGTGAAAATCAAGCTAATGTTGGAAAAAGTTTTTTTTCCACATTTTTTTAACCTTTTCTTACTTAGAAGAGTCGTTACAAAATCGCAACAATCTCTCTTTCTACATCGGTGCAGAACGCGAGTACTTTTTTCCACCTCTGGTGTTTAGCACCACCTCGCTGCCAAAACTAAACAATTCGAATTGATTTGAATTCACTGTGCACTAGTCTCGTTATTGACCTGAAATAGCAAGAGAGAAAAATAAATCGGATGACGATCATGACGAATGTGAGCATGACTCGGTGTCAACATGCACACCCGTGACTCTTCTTGATCTCGTGCGCTCCCCCATTGGCCTGAGATGATGTCATGCACAGCAAAGACAAAAGAGCCCACCTCCCTGCGCGCACACACACTCACACACACACACACACTCACACACACACACACACGTGCCCACACGCACGCGCCGCAGCTCACTTTAACACACACTCACTCGGCCAAGCAAGGGCGCTCCACATGCCGCTATTTTTTTTTTCCTGCTCATGCAAACTAAATCGTTTTTTTAAAAATTATTATTTTGAAGTCTCTTCTTAATTTTGAAGCCCCATGTCCACGCGAGCGCGCGGGCAGCCTCGGCGCCACACACATCTGGATCAGACCAGATCCAACGGTCCCAGCACGAAGACGAGTGGTGAGGCTGCGTCGAAATGACGACTGCACTCCAGGACTACCTCTCATGATGTAAGTCGTTCCCTTCTTGTCGAACCGTCAACGTCCGGTTCGGTGGGCTGCGTGCGCAAAAGTATCGGTCCGCTAAGTGACATGTGGGGGGGGGGGTCCTATTCACCGCACATCTACATCACGCTTTGTGTGTTGTCCAGGCATTTCTATTGAACGTTGCACGCGTGCTACATTTTGAAATTGCGTGAATTGCGTTGACTGGAATGTCAGCAATCGTGTGAGCGCGTTTCTTCATTCATCACCATTTTTGTTGACATGAATTGAATGTTTTTGAGCCGCACAGCAGCTTTATTCTGTCAACGGTTAAAAAAAAAAAAAAGGCTCCAACACGACGGGCGTGCAATTAATTCTGGAAAATCGGGTAGTGGGACACCTAGCGGATGTGTGAAAAGGAGCCAAATATGTTCAATTTACTGTACTGTATTCCCATGAATAACAGATAATAGGTAATTGTTTGAAATTATTTATGTTTGTGGTCATGCTAATGAGACACAACAAGGAGCTTAATGGGAGAAAAACTAAAAGGGAGATGGATCCAATTATTTTGGGGAGATTAAGCCTCTTAGATAGACACTTGCTTCTCGGAGCGCTTTTCATTACACGACTGCCAGAACAGTCATTCAACATCCACTGCAAAGGTTACCAATTGTAAAACAGTGGACCCAAGGGGTTACCGCGTCTCCTCCTTGGTTCTGAGTTTCCGGGTTCAAATTCCATCTCCATTCTTCCTGTGAGCATGGCGCGTTTTTCCCTATGATTCCATGGGATTCCTCTAGGGACCCTGGCTTCTCCCCACATTTCACAAACATGACTTTTTGGTTCACTGAAGACTATGGTTATGCATATGATTGGTTGGTTTTCTGTCTATGTCTGCCCAGGATAGATTGATGCTAACAAAGGTTACAAATGTCGGGCACGAAGGTTGTCAGCATGTTAACTGAAGACTACATTGTCCATAAGATGATGACAATTCTTTATTAACGTGGGATGAACCCCAACATCTCGTTTGCGAGGGGGTCCCACAAGTGAACGTGTGAAGACAATACTTTGTGCATCAAATTATTTGGGTTTTTTTTTTTTTAATCAACTCCTAAGTGCAGTTCCACGACAAACTGCAAGCATCATCATAAATATATTCAATTAGTCATCACATTCATGCAATATTTTACAGTTGCATACCCTGCGGCTGCTGAGTGTAGATTGGTCCGTGTCATTCTACGTACAAGGTCCATGTTTGGAAAGTCAGAGTTTCCATGACCACACAAACTTTTTTTGTGCCTTAATAATTTAAATTAGCATTTAGGAACTGCATATTGTATTTTCCCGCGTAGTCTCTGTGTGATATTAAAATTGGTTTGATGCCTTTGTATGTGATAAATATGCAAATAACACAGATACTGTATCTGGAATAGGGCAAATACCTTTTCACAGCACTGTAAACCCAATCATGACACTCACCCAAAAAGCATGTTCACCTGTGCAAGGTTCCAAAACATTCCTCAACTTTCCCAGTTTTTTGGGGAGCGCCTTAAATGTATCAAATTTAAAATTAATTTATAATTAGAAAAAAAAAATCCTCAGTTTGAATATTAATCAATTGTAATGTATTCAATTGAATACAGGTTGA